CATTGTGATCTATATTCAACATTACTTCAGTTTAAACTGAATATGATGATTATTAAGTGTAGTATTTTGTTTTGTTTTCCAGTGTGATAATTTATTTGACATAACATTAATTGAATATAGTGTTTGCTCAAGATATAATATTCTTGTATTAAATTAACAAGAACTATGCTCGGTATGACACGCAGCACGTAACTTTTTATATCTCCGAGTATTTTTCATATATTTGATTTCATCCTAATTAATAATTGAGATAAGTGTGCAATCAATACATAAATAAGTGTATTTTCAATTAGATTGGTAGTCATGTTCCGGGTTTAATAGATCTTCACCCGTACTAGTTTCAGTGTTTTTACTTTGTGCCGTGGTAATTGAAGTGGTTCCTCGTTTTACAAGTAAAAGTAATAATCAATTCCGACATAACAATTAGCGACGACCAGACATAACAATTGGTGACGCGATCATAACAATGTCCTTTGGACGAATCATATGTGGCCTTGAGAAACTTCATGCAATCAGAAAACAGTCAGTACACAGTAAAAATATATTATACGAAATTAAAAAATTAGAGTCGATATATTTCTCTAAAGACTTTTCAAGGTTAGAAAGAGGCTCTGCAGTTCTGAAATTATAATATATACAGTACAGGAACTAATCCATATGACTGCATAATCGACCTCTGGAGCCATGGTGAGATCGCGAAAATTCTTTTAACCTCCACAACGCTTCTATATCAGCGGTGTGTACTCCCATTGTGGTAACTACAAAACATGGCTTGTGAACGACGATATTATGCACGTAACCATGTCTAGGTAGGCATCGATATGCTCTCCAGTCACTCGTGTATATTGTGGTACCCGGTTGCACATACTCTCGTATAATCGGTATTATCTTTATATCCTGTCGGTTTCTTACGCCCTAAAAGTATCCCTTTTGAGATAACCAATCATAAACACCAAGAACCCGTTAACTATACGTAAGGAAGTGCTACTTACCCAGTCTGCTCTAACACTTCAATCTTGACTGTTTCGTCGATTTCTACGATTCTCCCGATTTCTCCAAATGACTGATTTAAACTTGTCATTTTCATTTAACATATGTATCGACAGTATTCGTGCCATTGAACTGCCGAAGCTTCAGTAGCATATGCAAATTTTGCAGCCAGTGTTACTGGTGCTTTTGTTATCCAGTTTACAATTATCATAATGTCTTAGTGTCAGTCGGGATCGAGTGAAAAAAAGTCCCCGTTCTGGCAGACGTTTCCAATATTTATTACATCGAAGTACAACATCGTTACGATAGTCTGCACATTGTCCAGTAGAATTTTGAACACCGCTTCTCAGTAATCCCATCTGTTGTAACCGCTCAACTACAGCTTCCTTTAAATCAGCAGTAAACTGATCTCTGTGACAGTGAAATCATCCACTCGCTTCTGACTGACTCGTCCATAAATTACAGACTCGCCCTAATTGATGTCTATTGCTTTTATTATTAAGTGCTTGTACATTCTATATGGCTATTGAGTCATTAGCTCACTTTTCTTTTTGTCTGTTTTCCTTCCAGAATCTCGCAATCCCCCAGCACACAAGTTACTTTTAGGTTAAACGCAAACCTACCAAAAGGCTAAACAAAACATTTATTCCTATTAATGTTTCTCCTGTTAAACAATAAATAAACGCTAACATCCATTAATTTCATTGTCTTTTCTTGAAATATAAAGGCTGTCTTTCAAATTCCGAATTTCTCTTTTTATTCGTTTATCGATTAGATCGGTCCTCGTATTATTAGTATTCCCCAACTTTAATATTTCAGAGCTTAATTTGTAAAAATTGCAATAAGTTTAGTTTCAGAAATAATGCGGTGAGAAAACGAATACGGCAAAAGAGAATGGAACCTTTGATTATTTATTGGTGAATCTTCTTATATACCTAAAACCTACTGCAAACAATTTACGTTTTATTTGAATTTAAAAATCAATCAAATAGTGAATATAGTAAATTTAGCTGAAATATCGAGTCTTCAATAAAGGACTGTAACTAGACTTCTACTTGGCGTTGAAACTTCTATAATTATGTTTCGATTTATGTATTTAAAGGAAGTCATTGTCACGAGTCTAGGGTATTTCATTTTTAAAGCTAATCCATATAATTTTCTGAATATAAATCTAATAAATGTTCCTATGAACTTCGTTCACTTAGAAGTGATAAGAACTATCATTTAGGTATAGTTCATCTTAAAATTATTAGTCAAACAAAATCCAGGGACACTACTACACTTGAGAAAATACGTTTCTTCACAGCATAAATTAGTCGAATCTTTTGTTTCGACACATGGAATAAGAAATTAAAATCGCACATTTATCACAGACATTTCATTCATAAAGTTATTCAAATCGAGACGTGTAAACAGTTTATTTCTTTACCAAATCAAGCGGTTCATGGATTTTATCTTCCTTGCATTGACTACGGGTAATAAACATCCCTTCCAAGATGGCCGAGTGGTTAAGGCGTTGGACTTGAAATCCAATGGGGTTTCCCCGCGCGGGTTCGCACCCTGCTCCTGAAATAGTGGGCTTTTGGAGCAATCTTTTGCAATAATCCAAACAAAAAACGGGAAAGTATAGTTTGATGTCATTAAATACATTGGACCAATATTAAACTTAATATTTCTAATAGATTATATCCGCATGAAACAAAACACTAGACTAATATCAACTAAGAGAAGTCTGAATTCATCTAATATTAATGATCTATGTTTCATATTAACCTATGGATTATTTATGTAGATGAAAAATAAAATTGTCAAAATAGTTCCCGGAACGGGATTCGGACCTAAGGTATCTTGGTAGGAAATAATTTGTTTATAATGTGGTTTTTGTATTTTACGATTCAATAATTCTTAAATTCCGGTGAAATATAGTGTTAAAATTTTCACAAGTTCACCCTTCTGTTCACTTCGAATCTACAAGATCATCGTGGTTTATATGCCTTTTGAAACTTAACCCTAGAACATGATCACCACACATCTTGAAATACAAAATTTCATAAGATTTTTACTTTAGTAAACGAGTTAGCAAATATAGAAATGTTTTACTAAAAAACGACTTGTATTTTAAACATAAACCAATTACAGTTCATAACAGTTCTATATTTAAAACATGTTCAGACCTTTCTCACTTATTCCCCAACATTACGATTTCTTCATTTTAAATTTAATTTAAGTAATGACAAAAGTTGATTCATGCACTTTTACTAAAAGCTTACAACTTATCATGAGGCTAAATACGGAAATTCGAACCAAGCTGCAACAGTTGTTGAGATATTTTCCTTTTATGTGTCTTTTATAAATAAAAAAAATTAGAAAGAGGCGACGAAGAAACTATCACTAAAGAACAATTCATTGTAATATTGTATATTTCGTGCTGAAAATTCTTTACTATAACCAAAACAAATGTTGCTGAAGAAATTGACTTTTATTATTCTTAATGACTTTAATTTGGAAATCGCTGGTCCCTATTCCTCTACTAACTATTATATTAAAGGTATTTTCCACAATACACTAAGTAAAAACATAAAACAACAAGAATGGCAAAAGAAAAAAGAATATACAGTAACAATTAATAAACAGTTGAAATTTACCCATGTTTATTATTAACATTATCGCTTTCATTACTAATTTACACAATTATTTGAATAACAAACAAACAAAAGAACACAACTTATCTGTACATTAAATAAAAACAAATAATTGATCATAGTTAATATGGATGAAAACTATACTAACAATTATAACAGTGAATATTGCTTATTGAAATGAACAAAACAAAACAAAACATTTTCCCTAATATCTTTCTTGTTTTACATTAATATACATAAGAAATAAAAATATAGATTAATTGGAGAGATTATTTCATATAGTAATTAGTTTATCTTTCAGTAGAATGAATATTTCCAACAACAAAAAAGGAATTAGTTAGTGAACTTTCATTAATTAATTAAAAGTAAAAAATAAACGAAACATGAAAATTGAAATGATAATGATTATAGTTGATTAAGAAAGGCATTGAAAAAAAAAATCTCAACATTTAAACAATGCAATTCAATGTAGGAGATTCATCAAAGTAAAATTTGTTAAGTTACATAGTAGGATGTGATTATATAACAACTGTTATTATTAGTAGTATAATAATTAGTGAACTTTGGCAATTAAACAATAGTCTTTTGTGAGATCACGAAGGAGAATGAAAAAAGGAAGAGAATCAGTAATGAGGAATGTACAAATGTATGTGGTTCTCTATTTCTTACTTAGAATCGATTAGATTCAAAAACAGACAAACATGTATTGAACAGCAGTCTATATTAAGTACTGCTGGTTTTTTACTGAGCAACAGAGAACAGGGGTATACACACATAATTCCTGTGTAAAAATAAAATAGTTGGAAGGAAGAAAACAATGGAATACAGTAAACAAGAAAGTGTTGATGAATGATGACTCAGTTTAAAAAACAAAACAGTGACAAAACAAACCAACAAAATAACCGCCATAACAATTACAATGATTTAGGTAAAAAATAAATTAATTTTGATAGTATTGCAAAATAAATTATTTACGTTAATCAATAATAAAGAATGTTTTTCTAATCGCATTAGTAGTAGTGACAATCATAGTAGTACACTTCATGTAATCTGAAAAATGTGCAACATTAACAATGAAAAAAGACAAAGGTATAGTCTGATTGAGTAAAGACAATGGAACTATCTTTTTGGTAAAGTTTTTTCCCCTTTCTCTTCCCCCCCCCGCCAACATACACACTCGTTAGAAAACCAGAAACTAAATACTATCCGTACACATTGAATCGATAAAGTGAAGAGAATAAGTAATATTGAGCATTTCATTTCTTGTTAGTAATGATTTTGCAAACTGTACAGTTATATATATATATATATATATATATATATATATATATATATATATATATATATATATATATATATATATATATATACGTGTACATACAACATTTTCCAGATAATTGAGGATAAGATGAACAAATAAATAGTACGAACTGTAGTTTATATACTATGATGAGGAATGGAAATACCGGATATGAAAGATAATCATACAATTTATGCGTAAGTTTTTCTCTTTGTTCATTTTACTCTTAATTATACATAATACCAGTGGAATTTTTCGTATTCATAATTTACACACATGCAAAAATAGTTAATTTTGTTCACAAACAATTGACTATTATGAATATAATCACATTAATCCCCTTTTCCATATTAACGAGAAGAAATGAAAATAATATGAATTGGGTTTCATTAACAGGGAAGAATTTTCTTTTTTCTTCTTTTCTGGATTGAATGATTGGTAGTGGAAAAAATATGTATGTCTAATAATCATAAAGATCATTTTATGGCCTATATTTGTGTGTGTGTGTGTATTGGTAATACAAATATCACAGTATAACACAATAAATGATAACTCAATTTAAGTTTATTTATTATTGAAAAACTTTATTAGATGTTGAGGCAGATGAATCCCAATCATTTGAATGACATAATGGTATTTGATTAATCGATGTATTTTCTTTCACTTCAACCTGAAATTTGAAGGTGAATAACAATAAAGACCCTTTCACATGATAGAAAACTTATTTCTAACACATAGTAAGTAAATGCGTATGGATAGCACATATGAATACTAAATATGAACTAATATTGTCTACATAACATGAATGTTATCTATATAAAGATGATGATTTATGAAATAATGAATTTTAGTCAATTGAAAAAGTAGTGTACTATCAAATTGTATAATTAAAATTATATTGAAATTTGAAAAGGTGACAAGTTTCTTCGATATTTACACAAACAGATATGCAATAGTTTGACTATAAGCACTTCAACAATATCCATGAGCCAATTGAAGCTAGACCACCATGGAAAACCTGGAAGCACTGGACGGCCGTTTCGTCCTAGTGTGGGATTCCTCAGCAGTGCGCATCCACGATCCCGCACCCCGCGGGATTCAAACCCAGGACCCACTGGCTTCGCGCGCAAGCACTTAACCGTTAGACCACTGAGCCGCCATCCGACGGTGTTAATGTCTAACTTCAACCAATCCACGAAGTTGAGCCACCGTACACCATTGTCTTCAGTGAGTTCCTATCTCACAACACACCTGGTTGAACTCCACTGGTAACGACTTCTCACTAGAACTCCAGGAGTGTTTCCTGAACCCGCGGGGGGCGGGTTCGTGGATGCGCACTGCTGAGGAGTCCCATACTAGGACGAAACGACCGCCCAGTGCTTCCAGGTTTTCCATGGTGGTCTAGCTTCAATTGGCTCATGATTTCAACTTGTGAAATTTCTAAAAATCTCCACAAAACCCATTCTGATAATAATATCCATTATGATGAATTATTTCCAACCTCGTTGATACTAATTCACAATTAATTCTTACCGTTAAATGGTTTATTTAGTGGTTTTATTCATTTCAATATCACCCTATTTTTATGGATTTATTCTTTGTATATTACTTACTATTTGAACTGATACATTTTTCTGAAGTCTGATAGGTAATTTTATAAGTCTGATATTAAATACTGTTCAAATATAGCGTTATGTTAAATCAATACACCTATTAGATTGCATTTGGTTTTTAACACTTCAGCTGTGTATCAGCCAACTGGATTAAAAATTCCATATTCTTCACCTCACGGAACATCTCTATTGATATCGGTTAGCAAATCTACCAAATATCCACATACTTATTTCATCTTGAAATGAATTGAACGCACTGTAATGAATTAAGAATGTCCTAGAATTTTTTTCTCATTCAAACTGAACAAATTACACCATATTGTGTTATACTAATGTCAGTCTTGAATAATTGCGATAATATATGACGTTGAAACAATCACTAAAGTATTGAGCGATAATTATAAATAAAATCGCATAAATTAAACACTATTTCATAAGAAATAACTTACAGGTCTTTGCCATGCCAAAAACAAGCCTTGCTGATCTACAATATGAATCGTATCACGACGAAAGACAAGATCAGTTACTCGATCCTTTAAGATTCGTGTACATACAAGTGGTTCAAGTATAGGTACATCACTGATTCGAGGGCACAGCGGAGAACCGAAAATACTAAAAAATTTAGAAATGACATTTTAAGATCAACCAATATCACAATAAATAAAGATGGTTTTTACAATAAACCGTTAATGGTCAACTCAAATGTGGAACTTATATTGAGAATGTAATGATAGTGGTAGGTAATTTTAACGCCTAAGTTGGTAGAATCAGTTAGTCCCAACGTATAACCTGGTACATATGCACATCCGTTCAAGTTTTCATAACCCATTAGCACAGAGAAATGAAATTGTCAGGCCAAATCTCAGAATAGTGGAGGTAGTAATAGTATCAGTGGTGATGAAACTAGGTATCAAGAAATACTATACGACAGAAAAATATAAATTAGTGAAATAAAAGCGAAGAGTGACGAGAAATCTATGATCTCAGAATCTGGGAAAAGACAAAGAATAAATGCACCTACGCCATTGCAAACGATTTTGAGCCGTCATCCAGTTTACAACCATTGGTTACGATAATAGCGTGAACCCCAACTCGGTAGTCTATGTTGTGACTTTGAGTCTGGCTAGTTATCGCGTGATTTATTCACCGATTGAAATACGACTTATCCACTCTTGCACTGTGCTAAACCAATAACGTTCGACCGGTATGATCAGCCTAGTGTCTTTATTATTCCTTTGTTCGCCTAGCCCGTCCGGTTGAGTCCAGAACACCAATAACAGCTTCCACTATGCGAATCATTTATTTCAAACACACTTCGTTTATATATCAACCAAACAGACCGCATCACACCATAAAATAGGAAATAACATTTATACACGACCAAGTCCAAATGTGGCTGTGAATGTGGGAGACAGCAATCAATAAACTGAACATAACTTAAAAACAGTAAATCATATAATAATAATCTGTAGGTCAAAAAGAAGCTTATAATAATAAGAATATGGGATACATAAGCTAGTTACTGAATAGGAATATATATATAGTTCTCGGAAGTTACTCGTAATTTAATCTTCACTAGGATATAATAGTCTACGCCTATTAACATGGCTGTTTAATCATCTGTGACTTTATGGACTGACACCATGTTTTGGTTTGGCCGCCCCCAGCTTTTTTCTAGCCTACTCATACACAAGAAAGCATCGCCCGTTGAAGTAGGCGGTAATTTCGCATACGTAACGCATGTCCCAACCAACTAAGTGATGTGAACAGATAAACATAGAGGCCAGAACAAACAACGAAGGCTATTTTTGGGGACGTTATTTCACTTAATTCAAAGTTGGTAGAATACTAATATTTAATTTTCTTTCTAGTTTACTGTATAAACCATGAGCTTTCGTTTAATGTATGATTCACTGACATACCCATTTCTGTTCCAAAGCTATTTTGATTTAAACTTAACTTTTTGTACTCTATTTTTCTACCCCAATGCCTAGTTCGGACGTAATTGTATTTTTTTTAATTTTATGTGTTGTGGTCGTGTTGGCCGTTTATTCATATATCTTCTTATTTTAATCTGAGTGGAGAATCGGGAATCATGAATAAATTGAATGATGCTTCAACTGACTCATCTTCTCTGTCGCTTGTCAATTAATCAGGTGATAGAATAGTTTTTTTATCTCTGCTTAAGGCCGTCAATATCAGTTCGGACTCACGCATTTCTAGTCCCAAGGTTAAACCAGTTAGCCCATCGTGTCAAGGCCTTGACCTGAATTGGGACAAGTTCTCTTCTGTATATTAATGTGTAGACAGATCAAGGATGTAATACTCAGTTGAAGATTTGCTGCCACATCAAGCGATTAGTCATCCTTACCTAATACCCTATTCCTACTTTAGGAATTGTTTACTCCGAAGTCCCAAAATACACGGGCAATACTTCGCAGACACCTACGATCGAATACTAGTAAATAAAAGGCACTTTAACAAATCTTACGGTATCGCAGCTCAACAAACAGATGACGGTAGTCTGCTGCTGCAAATAACCATTTGTTCCCAGCAAGCACTAACTTTAAATATAGAGACATCGTCCAACATGTAAACCCTCACAATCAGCTCAACGATGGACATGAACACACCATATTGTCATCAACTAGTGTAGTACAAACTCGATAAAAGATTCCAGCTTATTCTAGAGATGCTAAAAATCTGATAATGTTCCAGTGTGAGAACATGTTTATCTAAATTTTACTGGACACAGAAAGCCACAGTAAGAAGATCCATAAAAGTTAACTTTATTGGTGAAAGTTGGGAATATATTTCAGAAACAACTAGCTAATCCGTAAGTCAATTATGAAAAAGATATTTACACTGAGGTGACGTGGCACGATAGCTGAACACCTGTGTAAACAGCAATACTATTAATCAGAAACCAAAATCAAAATGCGAAGATACACTGAGCTGATGAACATGTGTCACGTTTTACTTTGCATATCATTGACTGACTGAAAGGATTACTTATGACAAACTCTTAAGGTGTATACGCAAGCTATTACAATCACGATAAATGACAGGGTAATTTAAGGAGTCAAGATTGCTTATAGAATTTTATAATTATGAATTTCCACCAATGTCACATAAAAACTACTAAATAAATATATTTAGCGTCAGGAGCTTTCATCATATTAGGCCTTGTTATGAAGTCAACGACCAATAAGTATTTAATTCTAAAAATTGTGCTCTGAATATATTTCCACTGACGTTTTTAAGTAAGAGTTTTCCAAGTCTTTTTAATTAACCACACTGTGAGTGTATGTTTCGGTGATGCTCCGCGGTTGTCCAAACCAAAGTGGCTGGAGTGGGGTTCGAGCCTGAAACTCAAACTCCTTAACCACCAAGTCATCACTCTATGACTTTCTGTAGACTCAAATTACAATTTTCTTACCGAGAAAAAGGTAGTAATAACAACAGACAGACTACGAGGGCCAACCAGAAAATAAATGCAACAAAAACTATCAAGTACCATTGAGGCTTTATTAGACCATAGTCCGAAGTTTATGCTTAAAATTGCCTAAATTCAATGGGATTCTAACTTGTCTGTTTTTCCAATTATACAAAAGTGTTCATCCGAAAACAGCCTTGAAAAATACTGATTTTAAAACCTAGTGTGAAAGTAGTGAAAAAACATACTTATGTTCAGCTATTGATAACATCCATCTAACTTCACTTAAACGACTCAGGTTACAAGCTTTCAGTGAATTAGTTGCAGATCCATTAAACTTTTCTGAATTACCAAGACGAGGAAACCGAACACTTGTACTAATTCGATTACTTGAATTTGAATTCGACCAGTGGAAACCACGAAGTGGGAAAATGGATTTTGATTTATCGGATCCGCTACTGTTTGTCCCGTTCGACGAAGGACCAGATGAAGATATGGGACTGGCAACATTCTTGCGTTTATTCAAGAAACGGCTATCATTCAATTTGACTGGAGGTCGGGTGGAGTGAATATGTGGAGAACAAACAGTTGAAGAAGTAGATGAGCCATTTCCTGACTGTGGAGATGGTAAAGCTGTAGATGTATTGCAGCTTAAAACAGAACTAGACGTCATATTCAAAACAGAAGAGTTTGTTATATGAGGAAAAGTAGTATCACAGGTAAGATTCCCGAAGCTGTTGTCTGAATTTTTTATTGCTGAACGAATAAATGCAACTCCTTGACGAATTATATCATCTGTCAGATCCCATAAACACAACATGGTGTCATGCCCAACTGAGCCAAGACTAAAAATTAAAAATACAAAACATTTACACAAAAGTTAGGAAAATAATGTGACAAAAACTGGACTAAACTGTTGAAGTAGTTTAATGGGTGCTCATAGGAATTATTTCAGGCACTCTATATAGCACTACAATATTCAATTGGTAAGCTTACACCGTAAGTAACATAGCAATGCAAGTCAATTGTCGGCTAAGAAATAAATACGGAATCACTCACAACGATTTCATACTTTCCAGTAACGCTCACAAGTAACAAGACTGTTTACAGTAGTAATTACGAGATGAAACATTGGTCAGAAGCAACAACAACAACGATATGGAACTATTTGTACTGAGTTGCCTTTCAGCAGAAATGTTCACTAAAGACAACAAAATAAAAGTGAAACTTTTGAATCATCAGACGTTGCAATCTCTATCAACAAGGTTCTATTTATAGTAACTGATGAATGCAAGTGACTTAGGCAGGCGAAAACGTAACCATGTGCTTCTACAAGTCCGAAAGTAAATCCACGATATTATTTGATACAAGACTGACAATATCAGTCAGTCAGTTAGTCATAGCTTAACGTAAAACGTAACGCATGTCCACTAGTTCAGTTTTTCATATCATATTAGCAGAGAGATTTATTTATTTATTTTAACACATAGATATTGGTACAAGGAGGTACCAAATACATATGCGCCACACAAATCTCATTCGATATGTGTGAGGGCTGTGATACTACCCAGGTGCCCAAAGAGAAGCAGGTGGTTTTCTTAGGAGACCACTCCCCGAGCCTTCGACCTGAAGGTCTGATCCACAAGGCAGTGGAGTATCGTAAGGAGATGCAGTCCCATGGAAGCCGGTGACCAACGATTGGTTCATACGCCATTTGTTCCTTCAGGATACTGGAGCCCATGTGCACCATTTATTTGGTTTGAGATCCGGTAAAAGCGCCGGACATTTGCTTTTCGTCCTCTCATTTTCGTAAACAACACTCCCACCACGAGAAGGCAGTGAGTAGGACTTCCCTGGCAGAGGCTATATACGTGTGACCATGTGAGAACATTTCGAGAGGAAGAGCGAACTCTCCCTACTCTCGGCCGTACCAAGGCATTTGGGGACCAGAGATTAAATTATTAAGAAAAAATCCCGGAACTGCAAAATTAGTAATAGAATCAGTAGTAGTAGGAAAGGTTAGGCATAAAAGAGGTTGTAGGGAGACTTCTGAACTCAGGTTCTAAAGTAATACATAGAGTGAATACACTTGCGCCATTGCAAATGATTCTGAGTCATAGCAACAAAAGTGTATAACCATTGGTTACCATAATCCCGCGAACCCTAATCAAGTAGTTCACACCTATTAATAACGTGATTCAGTCCATTTATCAATGACTTCGAGGACTCATGCCACGTCTTGGTTTGGCTGCATGCAGATTTCTTCTATATGACATCGCTCGTCAAGGTAGGCGGTGGTTGGGCATACGTAAAACGTCTCAACCACGTCATGTGACGTAGACTTACTACCTTACCAACCGATTTACCATATAAACCAAACACTCAATGCGTAATATTGGAACCACTCACTCTGCGGTCCTGAAATACATGGGGGATGCTTCGTAGATATCGATGACAATCAGAGCATTATCTCTTAAAAGGATGTCTATGATAAAGTGAAAACTAAAAAAATGGACAGCCCTGACCAACACTCAAGGTAGACAATTCTGATGAGTTTGCCAGAGGCTCTAACTCAACTGATGGTGTTCGAGTAAAGAGTATATTTAAGGTCAACGGAATTCTTTGGTAAGGTTTTTAATGGCAGACACTGAAACGAAATCAATCGAATGATGTAGTAAAATGCTGTCTTAAGACCAAGAGATACAATTGCAGACAGACGTCGGAAAGTATGTCTATGTTCCAGAACCAATAGAAGTGTGAATATTTAATCAATATATCATACCCAGGACTGAAACCAGACTGATTTTCCAGGTTTTAGTTCTTACAATTCTTAGTCAAGTGTGCGATGATTGCTGAAGCTAATATTTTAGATACTGTGTTAGTCAGACTGATTCCTTTATGATTGTCATAAGAGGATTTTTGTTCTTTCTTGTGAACTGGGACTATAAGTGAGTGAGACCAGTGAGGCGGAATTACATCCAGCTTCCAAATTCTAGCTAAGATCTCACTCAATCAAAGTGCCAAAACTGGATCCCCATTCTTAAGGATCTCCAGAGATAATCCACCTAAACCTGCTGCTCTCTCTCACTTTAGATTACCCATAGTCTTTTCAATCTCACTAAGAGCTGGAAGACTTGTGTCCATTTGTAATTCAGGTTGCTTGAAGATAGTGGGTAACTGAAGACCAACTGAACTATCCCCTACAATGTTCTGCCCATCAATTTAATCTCCGGGATTGAGAATGAATAACAGTTCCATCTTTTTCAGAGATAGTTTCACTGAGAGACGGATTTTGACACTTGTTCCCTTGATAAGTCTGAGTAGTTGCATACTGTTATCTACTGCGCAGTCTTTTCCTCGCTTGTTTTTTCTACCCACCACTACTCAGTCATTAGGTAGGGTTATTATCAATCGACATGGTGTAAGGAGAAATAGTAAAAGGTGAAGGAGATAGTTAATCATCAACAAGATAAATTCGAGTGCTATTAAAGGTATGAGAAGGATTGCCATTTCCTGGCTGCCCTCTCTCATTTGAAGAATTTTTCTTTTTGGTGAACCAAAAAGGGAACTGTTATAGTGGTATTCTTAAGAATTTGGGAGCACAACCACAGATCCCGAAGAACTACTCGAGGCCGTTTCCACATGACCTTTTTGTGGGATGTCTTCGATGTGTTAGCTCCGCACTTCAAAAGGCCTTGCCGATGAAGAAGGAAATCTGTGAGATAAGGTGAGATATATCTACGTTCGCTGCAGATGCTGGTAGTTTGAGGGAAATATCTTACTGCTGTCACACTCCACACAGTCAGCAGTACTACTCAGCCCTAAGGTTTCAAGTCAGTGGTGTTAGTCCCATCGTTCTCCAGCCGACCTACCTGGCATAGCAGAACCTAAAAGAACCATCACGACAGGCAGGCGTGACCATCACGTCAAATTCGCAGCTGCGGTTAACATAAAATATATTTGGAAACCACAAAACCGTCAAGTTTACTGCTGTCGAACTTCGCAGCCTCATGAAGACCAGCACAAAATACTTTCACTATAATCAAATATCAAATTACTGTAAACCATCAAACGCGCGGATTTGGCAATGACGCTGAAACTCCTCACAGTATAAAAGATTTTCCCATAATGTATTTTGAAGTACTAATGTGAGTAGTACATAATTGAACCAGCCAGTCAGCTACAACGTAGGACTAGGCACATATATGCATCGGTCAAAGTTGCCATACCTCATTAGCACAGCAAAATGAACACCGAATCCATAATAGTTAATTTAATGGTGGTAATATATAAAAGAAAGATTGTATATAAGGATATAGTACAGGAAGAAAGAATTAGTTCGTAGAAAGAAAGATATGAAGCGATTTTAATCTCAAAGTATAAGGGAAGACAGAGAGTGCATACACCGACGTCATTGTGATCGATTCTAAGCCATTTCACTCAGTTTCCAACCATTGGTTACGATAGTCACGTGGACCGCAACCAAGTAGTCTGCATCTACCAACCAACCAGAAGTTAGTGACTTCAAGGACTGATGCCACGTTTCGGTTTGGCCGCCCCTAACCTTCTTCCAACCGTCCCCAACACTAATCAGGATTGCGTGTCGTAGTAATCAGTGTTCAGGCACACGTAACACGTGGCCCATTCATCTCAGTTGATGAAGATTCATAACCTCATCAACTAATTTACCATCATTCTCTAATACCCTATGTCTAACCTCACTATCACATACCCTGTGATCCCAGCAGATGCCAGCAATATTTTTAAGGCATTTGTGGTCAAATACTAGTACCTTACGAATATCTTTTACTCTTAATGGCCACCTCCCGACTGTTGTTGCTACCTTGATGTGGTGGTCGGGCTTGCCTATCGTGATGAGCCAACCGAGTTATACTGGCTGGAACAACCGTTCCTCAAGGTCCTACCATGTCAGACAGGTCGGTTGAAGAGCGCTAAGACTAAAAACAGCAAACCCAAGGTCCGAAGTCGTACTGCTGACTGTACAGAGGTGTGACAGCAGTAAGGTGTTTCCTTCAGACAACCAACATGACAGCGATGCTGCCTTCCCACAAGGAGAGGTGAGGTTAGAAAAGGTCGACCCTAAAAATGCACACTTCGCCTTATCCTACGGATATACGTCTGCGGCGGTAAGGTCTCAACAAGTACGGAGCTGACACAAAAATTACTCATGGAAAGGTACCTCCAGAACAACCCTTCCACGGTGTGGGCAACCGGGAAGTGATAACCGCCCTCATACCTCTAACAGCACTCAAGACCACTGGATTCATAATCAACCTCCGTCTTCAATTCCTATTATTTCTCCTACATCGACTCTCACTTCTAAACTTCCTCTTTCAGCTTCCCCCTCAAGTGTCACCATAGCCAACGATTCTAGCGCTCAAAACATTGCCCTAGGTCTACTGAAACCTCGCTCCAAACTACACATTGGAGCCTTCAACGTACGCACCCTATGTCAAATCGGTCAACAAGCTTCCTTGGGTAGAACCCTAGAATCTCGTACCATTGATGTATGCTGTGTCTCTGAAACACGCATACAGGATCCCAGTGTTGTCATTCACTTAACCTCACCTCAGCAAAACGGAGAGCCAACGAGATACATCCTTCGTGTATCTGGTGACCAGACGGTCAGTTCTCGTCGACTGGTAGGAGTAGGGATAGGACTAAGCATGAGGGCGGAACAAACACTGTTAGAGTGGATCCCCGTTAACAGTCGTTTATGTGCTGCTCGGCTAAACGGCTCCGTAAGAACTCGGAAGGATAGGGACACACGTCGTTGCCTTTTTGTCGTTTCTGTCTACGCTCCCACCAACTGCAGCTCGGATGAAGTGAAAGATGAATTTTACAGAAAGCTGTCCGAACTTCTTCAGAAAGCTAAACGCTCAGACTCGTAGCAGGTGACTTTAATGCTCAGATAGGCAGTTTAAACCAAACAGGAAGGCATTTAGGTGGGTTTCTCAACTTCCCTAGGTCGACTCTCAGTGTCCACCAACCCAGTCAAAACGCCGGACATTCGCTTTTCGTCCTCTCAAATTCATGAACAACACCCCCGCCACGAGAAGGCAATGAGCAGGACTTCCCTAGCAGAGGCTATACACGCATGGCCATGTGAGAGCATTTCGAGAGGGAGAGCGGACTCTTTCCACTCTCAGCCATACCAGAGTATTCGGGGGCAGCACAACTAAACATTTCGGACTGACTATGATGACCATAACTCGATAAAAACACCTTTTCAGTATGTATTTACTTTGTACATAAAATATTAGGTGATGATAACATATTTAAATACAATGTGCACATATGTCATACAAAGGACATCTGATGGGCTAAATATTGCTATCTTAACTTTCAGGGCAACTGAGTTAAATGACATTTTTTCACTGGTGCAAAAGATGAGTGCTTATCAGAAACTCAGTGTTATTAGATGTTCCAGTCTGATTATAATTAGCAGTTAGATTTTCAAGCAACGGATATTTGAGACATAGCTAGTCCAAGTTAAGCACAGACTGGGTAGAAAACTCCGCGACAAATACTGATTCGGTACACTTAAAGTTTAAAAACATTGACTGCACAAGATCAAAAGCCGTCTTCCTATTTGTAATTCGAACACTGATATGTTAAGCATAATGCTGCAATGTTACGTACAGTTTCCAGTATTTAGGGACAAAAACAGACTTCATAAAACTTGAGCAGGAGTGTCGCTAACGAGTAAATAGAATCCGATATAGTGTATTATCTTAAACGATACTAATGGGATAATTGACAGTTACACACAGTATTCGAAGTAAAGCAAAAAGGATTGGCCTTTGTGTGGAAAAAGAAATATAAACCTTTGTTAGTACCTAGAGGTTTGAATTTTAACTTATAAGTAATTTGTCAAAATAGGTCTTCAAAACCATTATTCAAGAAAATAAAAATACCAAAATACTAGAAAATACGTAACAAGAGAGCAACTAACCGGTAAGTTCTAAGGTCATTACTTTCACAAACTGTAACAGGTGAATTTCTAATAACTGAACTTTCGTCCAACTCTTCATGGTTCGTTGAAAGTGAGTGGGAACGTGAGGAGGCAGATAATGAGTCATCATTGGAAATACCACTATTAGTGGGGCATAGATATGGATCGAAGCGCACCATGCTAACCCAAGATTTGTGGCCCTGACAGCGACAAATAACAGCTCTGTCTAGAACTGACCAAATCGTTACTAGGTCATCTTGTCCCCCAGTGACAATAAATAAACTATCTGGAGACCAGTCTACACAAAGTAAACCACCAAAGTATGAACGCATGAACCCCTATAACAGAGAAAAACATCCAAAACAACCAATATTCTAAACAACCAATTTCATCATAATGCTGTGAATTATAAGACTAAGAAAAAACTGGTAAGTTTAATACACTGAAATTCTGTTACATTGTTTCATATTTAAAACTTCATAATATTTGAAAGTGAGTATATGCACTGCGACTGATCAGAACAAACATGCAACTGGTGAGTTTATTAGTTACTTACAAGTCCCTTCAAGTTTGGTGACGAAAGGCACAATAATCTATTAGATGTATGTGGTACGAATCTCGAGAGATATAATGAGCAATGTTTAGAACTAGATCCGGTTATTAGTACCAGTTTTCACACAGTTCAACAGGTAGGAATAGTCACCCAAACGACTCGATACTTTTTATTAAATTATTTGCTCATATCTATACTGTCACTGAGTCAAACTGGGTTCTATAGAGATATATACTGTAAACTGAGCATAACCCCAATCAAAACCGGGATATTCTTACTCTAGCGTGGGTGTGGTTCTGTAAGACAGAAAGATAGAACACCTTTCTCAACGCTTTGAAGGACTGTGAATCTCTGATGAGTTTTTTTAATATGAATGTGGGATGATGTGATAAAACAAGTACAAAACAATACCTAGACTGTAAGAGCTTATCAAACTTACTTTATTTTTCAAAGCCACATCGACCTTCATGGTTTGGTTGTCTTTTACTGAAGCCGATTTTCCACTTTATATAAAATATAATCGGTCTTAAAACATAACTTTACGTCCTTATTTGGATCTACAACCAAATATTTGGACGAAAATAAGACGAAAACTAATGCACAAAACACAGACGAGAAGTATTTGTTTCAATCTGTCGCAATACACTTGTAAATCCCAATAGTGAATTATCAAATTTCAAAGATGAGAAAGAAATGCGCTTTTAGTTGTTTAAAAATATTAAATAATGAGGTACCATGCAGTAAAAACTCACATATAGCTCCATCTCATGATACTCCATCACCCTCATGTAACCATCTTCTGTAATGATGGCAAGGAAACGGCCACAAGGGGAAAATGCAAACTGATTGATGGAAACATTATTATCATCGAACAATGAGCTAATAGCTGATGAGTCGCAACTTAACGGATCGGCTTGCGTCTCACATATTTTGTTGGCAACGAATCCATTAACGTGGTCAGAATTTTTCGACAGTGGTTTCGTGTTATCCAACTTTGATGTGTTAGGACTTCCCAAAGACCATCGATACAATGGGTTTCTTGTAGATTTCGTCTTACAAGTATGTACTGAAAACCCAATACCTTGTTTAAATAGGTTATATGTTGGAGCTGACAGCTGTGCAAGTGTTTCATCGTACAAATACATACACCCACTGGAATGACTGACTAAGAACTGGTGAGGTGAATGAGGAACCCAGCTGACACAAGTTACGGGAGTTTCATCGACAGACTTCTATGAAAGCATGAAATGTAGAAAACACACATACCCCTTCATTGAAAACTTTGTTTGGGTCTTCTTTGAGAGGATCAATCAACTTTATTTCACCATTGGCCAATCCAATCAATAACTGAGAGTCTCTTACTTTGTCTGTGGCACGTCTAAAGCAATGTGATGTTAAAGGTGCTCTGAATCTAATATGGGCTGGAGAACCACCACAGAATCTGCGCTCGTTCGAAGAATGCGCGTGATCCTGTGTATATATGCGTATTTCATTTCCTATGTTAATGCAAAATATGCTGCCTAACAGAAGTTACAACCAGTAATTTTAAAAAGATCAACGAACCATCGATACTTGTGTCTGTTTGAAAATGAGGAGTCTCATTTTTGCAGTAGTATTCAAGGAAAGATAAGCGGATGGCAGCGTTACCGACGCCAAATTGATTCATTTGTATCTGCTTCTCCAGCACACATGGTTCGGACGTAAAAGATTGATATCGACCTTCTATTGCATCGAAAGAATGTGACATAGGCGGAGATAGACACAGGTTGATATACTACGACACGACACACCATATGAAAAAAACACGACAATCTCTTGCACCCATAGAATACTTCCAGCAATCCGCCAACCTATTCCATGTGACCTAGAGGTAGCCTGACTTGTAACACCTTTAAACAGTGTGGTTTTGTTTCATTTCAGAGACTTTTAATTAACTAGTAAAGTTGGAATATTTTAGTGATTTTACATCCTTCTAAGAAACCCGACCTTTCGAAATAATGTAACTTTTGTGCCCAGTGTTGCTTCAGATCCAGAATTGTGTAGTAAGGACAGAAGGCCTACGGCCTGTTAATCCTTTTCTAGTATGCTTCTATGAGTGCCTAGTCTTCTCTTAAATGAATCAGTTAAAGGTGCGGACACTACTACTTTGGGTAATAGGCTCCAAGAGTTAATTATTCGGTGTGAAAACCTGAATACCACGGGTATTTTGTTCGTTATAGGCTTTTCTACTCGACTGCTATATCCTCTGAGATATCCCGATCTAATGAAAAGAAAAAGAGGGGATATATCAGGTCCAATATTTTTCTTAGTATCCTATATGCATCAAAATCAGATCACCTCTTAGTCTGTGACAGGACAGAGTAAAAAGGTCCAGCTTACCAAGCTGCTCTTTGTATGGCAAACATCGGAGTCCTGAAACTGCACGGATAGCTGCCCTCTGTACTTTTCCAAGGATATCTGAGTCACCTTTTAAACAGGGGCTTACAGTCTGAACGCAGTTCTCAAGCTTAGTCCTTACTAAGATTGTGTATACTACAGTGAACATTGTAGTATCTAACTTGATGAAGGTTCGGCTTAAAGCCTATAGGGTTCCAAACCCTTTTCCTGCAATCTCCCATCAGTGAACCGTGATCTTAAGATCATGACTCACTATCACCCCAAGATCCTTATGAGACCGGACTACGAGTACATGCACTTCCTCTATGTTACGTCTATTTACCGTTGTATCCCTAAAATGCATATAGACACACTTTACCGCGCTGATAGGCATTAACCACTCTTTAATCCAGCTAATCACAATATTTAAGTCTGCCTGAAGTACGCATGCATTTGTGTCTTCCATTATTTCTCGCCAGATTTTTACATCGTCAGCGTATAACAGCATTAGGAACTTAACTATACTAAACTATACAATACATGCAGTATAAAAGGTTAAGGAACTATGACAGAACCTTGAGGTACTCCACCAAGTACTGGTCTCCAGGTGGAACACTTTCTGTCTAAGACCTACCAGGGAATCCTTAAACCATTTTAGAAGAGGTCCGGCAACGCCTAGATTTTCGAGCTTCAATAGCAGTCCATTTGTTGGCCACTTGTCAAATGCTATGCTGATTTTATGTTGTCTAGGGCTTTTGTCCGTTGTTTCCTTGCTATAAGGAGGTTAGTTGTGCAAAACTGACCTTTTCTGAAACCATGTTATTCGCTGTTTAACAAGTTGTTGGTTTTCACCAATGTAATTATGGTTCTTTTTGATTATTCTTTCCAGTATATTACCTATGACACTAGTGAGGCTAATAGTTCTGTGTTTCGATAGAAGTTCCCTCGGTCCTGTTTTATGAATAAGAGTGAGGACTTCCTCTTTCCAGTCTGTAGGTTACATGCCTTGGTCAAGTGACATAGTGAATATCGCAGTTAGTGGGGACCTTAGCGTATCGAGGATGAGTGTGCAAGTCACTGTGCGTAGGAAAAATTAAAAAGCACAAAAACGAGGAAGAAATGGGTAGATGGTTCGGCAATATCACAATGAGCACTTTACTTTATTAGAAAAGACAACCGATAGTGATTACGAGTAACGTAAGTCTTGTGTGAATGTGTTGGGGACGGTATATCACCAAAATTCATATTTGTAATTTCATCATATCGATTAACTTATCGATTAAGTGTTTAAATATTTGAATGGAAGTCATTTGGTGAACTTATCGATTAAATATTTGAATGCTTGTCGATTGATGAACTCAATGAGTAATGTTTAAAAACATTTTACCAGGACAATATCGATTATTTATATTCGTATATATACGTTTTAAATTGTGTTTGTGAGCTCGTTCGTTTTCTAGCTATTTGCAGAACATATTTTCCATACCAAGCTTGGACTTCTAGATAGCGGGGCTAGATTACTGGTCTTTGGTCACTGAGTCTTGTTCTCGTTCTCAGAATAAGTAAACTCATGAAGCTTTAAACCTAACAATTTGGCGACGGTGGTTTCGGAAACGTGGATCCTTCTAAACTTGAATTATTACTCGAGCAGCAGATGAAACTTATTCAAATGTTAACAGATGCAAAGCTTACATCTAATTCTCAACCAAGTAGTTCTAATCCTACTACTGCTGCACCATCAGTTGATGGTATTGCTAACAGTATCTCCGAGTCTCATTACGATCCAGAATCCAATGTCACGTTTGATATGTGGTTTCGACGTTACGAAGACTTAATCAAATTCGACTTTGCTAATCAGGATGATGCTTGGAAAGTTGGGTCCTAGTGAACTAGACAGGTATTGCAATCTAATCCTGCCTCTAAACCCACGCGATCGTTCATTCTCGGACACTGTCCAGTCATTGAGCCAACAATTCGGAGACAACTCCTCACTATTCACTGTACACTATCGATGTTTGAAGCACACTATGAACGAAGTTGATGATTTTCTCACACATGTGGGTATCGTCAACCGAGAATGTGAACGCTTCCGGTTGAAGTCGCTTACTGAAGACCAATTTAAAGCATTCATTCTCATCTGCAGCCTTCAATCGCAGACGTTCAGTGACATTAGAACACGTTTGCTAAGTCGATTGGACCAAGACCCAAAACCAACTCTTAATGATATTGCAAACGAATAACAACTACTAGTCAATCTACAGCGTGAAACTACGATGGTCCATCGTGATGGTTCAAATCGTGCCGAAATTCATGTAGTCCAACAATCACCCAACTCTCATAAATCTGCCCCAGCGACATCTAGTTCAGCCCCATACTGGCACCGCGGTACATGGCATTTTGTTCGATACTATCCATATAAGCAAAATCGGTTCAGGAAATGTAATGCGGTGGGTCATAAAGATGGTTTTTGTCAAAAAAGAAGCCGAGCAGCTCCAGAGGTACCAGAAAACCTACGCCTAGATCCATCATGAATTCGTTGAGTCTAATAGCAAGCTGTGAGAACTCAACTCCAGTTGAGAGGAAATTTATTACCCTTAATATTAATGGGCACCTGTTTAGATTGCAAATGGACACTGCATCTGATGTAACAATTCTCTTACAAAAATATTGGATCAGAATGGGAAGACCACGCACGGTGCCAACAACACAGAAACCTCGAACTGCATGCGGTTATTACCTACGTTTGTTGGGACAATTAGATTGTAAAGTGTCTTTTCACGATTCGACGTTTACCGGGGTATGTTACATCACACCAGCTGATCCTAATCTACTTGGGTTAGACTGGTTTGATCGGCTACATTTAGCTGACGTTCCGTTAAACACCATGTACCGTCTGGTGAAACAACCTCATGAACCTGAAGCATATTCGAAAGAACTACTGACGGAGTTTTCAACAAGCGAACACCCTACGGCCAACGAAGACGCAGTTATTGCCTCCCTAATGACAGGGGACCACGTGCAGTGTTACTTGACAACCGCTATTCGTGCTTTGCCAGTCTCAGCAGCTGAAATACAATCTGCATTCAAAAACGACTCGATCATAAAGAGAGCGATGCAATACGTCACCAATAGCTGGTCGCCAATTGGACTCGATGGTGACTTGAAGCAGCTTTACCACCGTCGTGACTCATTATGTGTCGTAAACGAGTGCTTGATGTTTAGAGATAGAGTAGTGGTGCCAGAGTCCCTAAGATCAAGGGTGCTAAAGCAATTCCACACTAGTCATCCTGGTATAAAACGAATGAAATCCATCGCCAGAAGCTATGCTTATTGGCCCCTCACTGACCAACATATTGTGAATTCAGTAGGCAAAAGCACAGTGTCAGCAAGTAGCTAAGTGTAACGTGAAAGTACTGCCGGTTCCATGGCCACAGCCTGAGTATTCCACGATACATGTCGATTTCGCGGGCACAGTTAATGGAATCACCTATCTAGTCGTCGTTGACGCCTTTTCGAAATGGCCAGAAATCGTTCCCGTCATGCCACCAATGACAACCCAAACGATGCAACTTTTGACAGAGGTGTTCTCCCGTAACGGATAACCGGATATAATCGTACCCGACAATGGTTCGCAATTCACTTCAAGTCAATTTCAAGAATTTTGTAAACGCCTATCGATCAAGCATTTCCGCTCTCCACCTTACCACCCACAGTTAAATGGCCAGGCAGAAAGATTTGTGGATAGATTCAAGGGAGCTCTAATGAAGTCGAAAGGGGATGGGACGCAAGTAGAAACACTGCAGAATTTCTTGTTTGTTTACCAAACAACACCTAATGATATGCTACCACAACAGAAGTCCCCGGCAGAGATCCTGATGGGAAGGAAATTGAGGACGATCCATAGTCTGATGTGCCCAAGAACCAAACCACCACCATCTCAGACCAAATCTCAGAAGCTTCCAGCGTACGAGGTCGGATGCCTGGTGTTCCCTCGAGACTACAGAGCAAATCATGGCACTTGGATCGAAGCACGTTTGGTTATAAGACTAGGTCAAGTTATATACGAGGTAAGGATGGGAAGAGACATGTGGACTAGACACCGAAACCAACTACGGAAGCGGATAGCCTCAGACCCCCCATCAACAGGAGTAAGTCTTCCCCTCAACATTTTGCTTGATACCTTCAACTTACCTGCAGCCCCACCACAAGAAGCTCAACAGCAAGCTGATATCCGTCCCAGAAGGTGGACTCTCCGTCAGCGGCGAACTACAGTCAAGATGCAAGTCAACCCCAGAAAAGTACGCTATTAAAAAGGGGAGGAGTGTTGAGGACGGTATATCACCAAAATTCATATTTGTAATTTCATCATATCGATTAACTTATCGATTAAGTGTTTAAATATTTGAATGGAAGTCAATTGGCGAACTTATCGATTAAATATTTGAATGCTTGTCGATTGATGAACTCAATGAGTAATGTTTAAAAACATTTTACTAGGACAATATCGATTATTTATATTCGTATATATACGTTTTAAATTGTGTTTGTGAGCTCGTTCGTTTTCTAGCTATTTGCAGAACATATTTTCCATACCAAGCTTGGACTTCTAGATAGCGGGGCTAGATTACTGGTCTTTGGTCACTGAGTCTTGTTCACGTTCTCACAATAAGTGAGCTCGTGAAGCTTCAAACTTAGCAGAATGGTCACCATAGATTTATTTGACAGGTAATTTTCATTATTCACATTTTTTATGATTAAACATGTTCTATGCCATCACGGTTGTTGACTGTAGATGGTGTTGTTTATATTTATCTCTGACCGTCTGTTACCGTCTTGTTCTCTGTTTGTATGTCACTGATTACCGCTAGTACATACGCTGCTGCCCACACACTTCTTGTTTTCACATATCATCTGCCACGATAACGAAACTTTACTATAAACCCTATCTGCGTTTACAGATCACATATTTATGCGACCCTTCCTAATACACATTATCTTGTATTATATACGTCGTGCTTTCGATTACTAATTATTTATCATAATTTTGGACTACGAGACGCGGAACCTGAACACGCTTTCGGCTGACAACTCAAGTCATGTCTAGTATATCAAGCATGTATTTATGTATATTACATATTATCCATTATCCTCATACTTTTAGTATCGACTTTGTCACTACTTTAATATTGATGTATTCGGTTCACCACAGTCTAAGATCAGGTCATTTTTGCAATCAAAAATGTGTCTACAGTATGAGGTTTTAAATATGTATTAGCACTGCTATTTAAATCACCTTATGCACTTATGATGATATTGAAGTAGATAAGAAAGATTGGTTCAGTGGAGGGTCCTCTTTTCGGCTAATTTACTTTCAATGTTGCGCAATCGCAAATATATACAAACATATACATCTGGAGGATGTTACTTACAATTATAATACTTCTGTTAGACGTGTTGATCAGGGTAGAATAAATAAGGGTATCTTTCATTTCGAAGTAGCATTAAGTGTTGAACAGTATGAAGTTGCCATGAATATTTGAAGAATGACAACACCTTAACATGTAACATCTGTAATCGAAACATGCCCCCAATGAAATCAAAAGTCAGAAGCGTAGAGGTTTGAAGATATACTTGATAGGCTATCAATATATCGAAAACTGAATGATCTAACCTGGCTAGCGGTTGCAGGAGAAGTTGAACACGGTGTCCCCATTTGTGATCTCGTGCGGATTTGTGGTCGAGTGCTTTCAGCTAAATGAGTCCATTAAAACTAATGTGGTCAGCATTGTAGGTTGAAGACTTATAGAGCTATTGATTTTGGGGTTCGTATACCGCTACAAGTGGATAGGAAATAATTAAGATCAGAAACTGTCAACGTAGGGTTTTTATGAAGATGCCTTAAATCGGGTCAAACCGTCTGCCTCTAGTTTCATTTTCGCGGTTGTCTTTATTTGAAGATTGTCATTGATGGTTGCTGTCTATTGCTTCCATTAATAAGTGTAAGGGCACTGTGTGCGCTTGTTACGCCATCGACTCATCTTTCCTTATTTTTTCTTCCAGCTCTTCTCACTCACTCCGCTCTTTGTCTCCTATTATACAAAGTGTCTTCTGGCTAGACTCAAACCATTACGTCATAGCTCGGTCATTCTTCCTGACCGTAATAGATCTCTTTTCCCTATATTTAATAATCTATTGCTTCGGCGAACCGGAATTCATTCTTTAAGGATTCTTACACACAATAGCGCTGGTTGTCACGATAGGGCGAGTCAGCGCAGATGAGGGTTAGGCGATCACATAAATCATATAGATTCTACACGTCCTTATGTGAGGTACGTCACAAAACAACAAATTTCGACCCAGTACGCGGATCATTAACCTCAGGTCTTGCCTTCACACATCAGTCCTACGATGGTTCAGTCCAGTGATCACATACTCAACAGCGAACAGAGGATGCTCAAACGCTCTTTAGGTTCAGAGTATACAAAGTCAAATCTGACTTCATCCATGTCGTCGAAATATACGGCGCACGGATATTTTGGCCGTTTAGGGTTGTCGATCTATACGACGAAGAGGTATGTAACACTTCTGATGATGGTGGGTTCTCTAAGTTGCATGATTTAAATGAAAAACTTTCATTTTTATTCCTGACAATATCTTTGGTCCATATTTCATGTAGAAGTACGCTTTCCATATGTTTCATAAGTGTCATAGAAGTTCACTTCTATGGCTCTAATTGTAGTTGGCAGTATTCGTAAGTATCATGAACTTGATTTGCCTTTGTTAGTTGGTCTCTGGCTTTGTAATTAACTAAACACTTTCTGATGGCCCCAGGGATCGTTTGTATGCATTGGGATCGCAGATAACATAGGATATCAACTAACTGCCAATATCTTCATTTGTGCATGGAGGGTTTGTACTCATCGTCCAATGAAATTTTCAAAATTGGTGCAACTCATTTTATAAGCGATGCTACATTTGTCCTATTTTTGCTGTTTTCTGGTTTGCATGGAATGGAATGCTTGTGTTACTCCATGGGCGACAGTGACTCTGAAATAGTTCAGGATCCTTGTGATGATTTCTGAGGCAATTTTTTCATATTGCCAGATGATCTGTTTTTGGGTCTATGGGGTTAGCCTTTCGACGGTATTTTAATTAAGAGGCTCAGTCATAGGGCAGACAAACTGGAGATGAGTTTCTATAAAGCCAGATTATAGAAGTGTATTTTGGCTCCTATGGACAGTGTTTGGACCCAACTCTTATTGTAGTTCAGTATTTATTACATATGCCTTGGTTTTATGTATGCTTGTTCTTCAAAAGCTATCGTATTTATATTTTTAATCAAACTGTACAAGAATAAGGTATCATTTCACGCTTCCAATTTTCCTGAAATTTTCATATCGTCCAAAATGATGTTGATTAGCTGATGATTTTTACTAATAATCGAACCAAGAAAATGGGTACTACATGTTGAAGGCAAGATTATTACCCTTTGATGAGAAAAAATCGAAAATATTCAAACACTGAACTCAATGATCGGTTTTGCTCAGAATATCGTTTTATCCTTCATGGAAAGGCAAGGAAGCTGATGAAAAAGCCTCTCCGTAGATTGGTTGGAGATCTGTTTAATCAAGTTAGGAGAAAGGTGAACACAAACATAAATAAAAACCAAACGAACAAACTAATCAGCATCATAATTTGGTCCAATTCCACCTTGTTGTAGTAGACGAAATTTCCCCTGTTCATGAAGCCTCACCTGAAATTGTAGACTGTTCAATTCCACTATTGAATACCACATGAGTTGTTAGTACAAGTAAATTTTGAAGCGAAGTTTACACACGTTTTGGATGACGGCTGTTGAGAGTAGCCAACGTGTAAAGGAAGAAAAGGAAAAGGAGGAGGAGGAATTACGTCTACATCCACTTCAAGACTCGTAATAAGAAATTGCATTTTAGTTAGATGATTGTTTAGGTGGTGTTATTATTTGTTCCAGTTCAAAAAGGGACTCCTTTGGGATGCATGTCTAGAAAAAGTGGCAACCTTCAGCACTATTGAGCACTTCTGGAGTATACTCACTCATACAATTAGACCAAAAGAGATAACTAATGGCAGCGATTTATATATGTTCAAATCTGAAATTATGCCGAAATGGGAGGATCCGAAAAATGAAAATGGGGGACGTTGGCTAATCAATGTTTCTCCACGACAAGACGTCAATTTGTAAGTCGGTTATTTTTTGTTATACTGCACGTGAAGATCATGCTTCTATCGATGTTAGGTATTGCTTCATTGCAGTAATATAGTTTATTTCAGTTATCTAACGTTTTCCCTACTAACATTCTAGGTCGATGTGCTTCCCAGGTAACGCGTGGAACACAGAACAGTTTCCTATATAGACTTACCAACTTGTATATAATTACAGATAAATAATCCACACCCAAGTCACGACAAACTTTTCCCCTTCCTTATTGACCTCAGTTTTTCAGCTGAATCCACATGAGCAAATGCCAGTCATTAGCTTATAGCCAGCAAAAACAAAGTTCCCAACCATGCAGAGCAATGTCCTGGGCGCTTGTTTCTGTCACTTGTGCTTACCTACCTTGAGTAAGCACCATCTACTTCAGTTTGGGCAACTGGTTGGTATTACTAGCCCTCACACAACTGATTTGTGACTCATAGCTGTGCACATGAATCCATACTTGCCACCTGGGTAAATCACATTTGTATGTGTCTTCCAGCGCTGTATCCTTGAGTTTGGTTTTCGCCTCATTGTGATTACTGTGTTGTTTCCAGAAAGAAAGTTACTGTCACAATATTTGTTTTCATTCACGAGGTTACCTGTTTTGAGTCAGTAATGTGCACCATATCTCTATTCTGCTTATGTTTCTGATTGCGTTCAAATACTGTTATCAAGTTCATTCTAAACATTAGTTTGCAAGTGACCTGATATTGGTAGTTTTTTAAGGATTAAGGTCAGAAATATCTGCTTTCTGACTGCGTCTTACATTGTTCATCTCAACCAGATCTTTCGTTATTGCCAACATTTCTGCTTAACGATTAACAACTTGTATTCTTGTCTCTGTAGTTTTATTTTAACATACATATTGGTACAAGGAGGCACCAAATACATATGTGCCACACAAATCTCATTTGATATGTACGAGGGCTGTGATACTACCCGGGTGCCCAAACCGAAGCAGGTGGTTTTCTTAGAGGGTCACATCCGGAACCTTCGACCTAAAGGTCTGCCCCCAAATGCCCTGGTACGGCTGAAAGTGGAAAGAGTCCGTTCTCCCTCTCGAAATGCTCTCACATGGCCACGCGTATATAGCCTCTGCTAGGGAAGACCTACTCATTGCCTTCTCGTGGCGGGGGTGTTGTTCACGAATTTGAGAGGACGAAAAGCGAATGTCCGGCGTTTTAACTGGGTTGGTGGACACTGAGAGTCGACCTAGGAAAGTTGAGAAACCCTGATTCCAAACCAATGGTGCACATGGGCTCCAGTATCCTGAAGGAACAAATGGCGTACGAACCAATCGTTGTTCACCGGCTGCCATGGGACTGCATGTCCTTACGATGCTTCACTGCCTTGTGTCTCTGTAGAGCGCGAGTCTCATCGTACCTAGTCAACCAGCAGCGTTGAACCTATCATAATTGTACATCATTTCAAGTCGAAAATTTCGCAGTTGATACTCGGAAATATGGTATATTGCCTAGTCAGTTTCGCTATTTAGCGCTAAGTTTTCACCTAATCATTTCCTAGTCACTGAGTGTTACTGCGTGTACGGTTCATTTCAGGAATCTTGTTTTTTTACGACAAACCTGGTCAATATATTTTCCACGGAAATAGGTGTGACAAAAATTATTTTGAGTCGGTAGATGCATATTAAGCAATGCGATTGCAGACACCTTGTGAACACATCTGTAAGTCACTGAACTTATCAAATTATCAAATCTTCGGATTGTCCCATGGTTGTTAAAACCGATATATTTGTCTAGGTTGTTTTCTGTGGGTCAACATAATACTAGGTTAGGTCTGCTAGGAGTACAGTCCTCTAATTATGAATCTGTAAGTACTTCTTTCTTTGGCTCCCTTTTACAATGGTTGATAAGTGTTATTCGTGAACTTAATATGTGCACCCAACTCTAGGTCACATGACTTTTTGTTTGGGTCTTTTTCTTTTCCCTTGAGGATTCCAAGTCAGGGTTTGCCTTGTGATGTGGTTTGATAATTTCCACAGAATGTGTCCTCCTTAATTCCCTCCTCAAGTGACAGCCAGTTTGTTTTCTACCACAGTATGTTTTTGCAGCTGGTCTCTGGCAGAAGGGTTTTGCGTAGGCATCTGTTCATAAATTCCTGTTTTTTGATGATGGTGATGGTTCTTTAGATTTCAGCTCCATACAATGAAAATTTTAAGCTAGTTCTAAAAATTCCGACTTTAGTCTTAGGCAAAAGCTTTTTCGAGTTCCAGGTATTATTGACCTATAGAAATGCTGCTTTTGCGCTGCCAGTCATCGCTTTAGCATCTATGTGAGATCCATCTTCATCGATGATGGTGCCCAGGCAAGTAAAACTCTCCACCTCTTCGGGAGCTGTGTTGTTTTTCAGGATCTTGCTTTTTTACTTCTGAGTTTTCAAATCTATTTCTTCGAAAGCCTCTAGTTGTCTTCGTCTGCATATGTTGCTGCACATACCCGCTACTGATCTTTACTGCAAGCTGCCATCCATGTTCGACCTTGCACTTCAGTCCCTTGTGGGAGTTTCGTATGTTGGGAATCTCAGATACTTCATACTATTGACAAAGATTCCAGTGCTTTTTTATCCTACCTACCGACTGCTTTTTCATAATCGGGGGAGTTGATGTATAGTTATGAGTTACATTCAAACTATTCTTCAAAAATGGTCCACAGTGTCGCAATCAATTCTTACGAAAGCCAACCTGTTTGTTACTAAGTTAAAAGTCTACTGGGTCTTTCACTAGGTTCAGCAACACTTGAAAACTGCCTGATATAAACAAGTGTAATGCCTCTCTAGTTTTCACACTCACTCGTCTTTCATCGGTATCTTGAAGAGGTATCCCTCTTGCCTGTCTGTTGGCACTTGTTTTTTTCCTCTCAAATATATATGAAGAGAACGTGGGTTATCTTTTGAGCCGCCGGGATGTATGGCTTCAGTACCTCAGCCGGTATGCTCTCTGGTCCTGTTGCTTTGCTATCCCAGATTTGTCAGATGGCGTTGTTTATTTCCATTGTTGGTGTATTTTACAGAGTTTTGTTTTCAGGGTAAATTACCTTTTCGTTTAAATTTTGACAATTTTTGCATAGAATGTTTATATCTTTCATTCCAGCTTATGGGATGAATTGTTGATGCTTCTGATCGGTTCCGACTGGGATACAGATGAAGAGGATAAACAGATATGTGGAGCAGTGTTCCAACCACGGGCTCGGGGTAGCAAGCTTTCAGTTTGGCTGACTAGTGACAATGAAGAAGAAACTATCGTAAGAATTGGGAAGCGAATTAAAGAGCGTTTAGAATTAGAAGATACAATATACTTTCAACCTGTTTCTGATCAACGATCACAGACTAGAGGCAGGGATATTTGTACTGGAAAATATGAAATTTAGTTCTATATTGTTGCACTAACATTTGTTTTGCATTCCTTATACTTCTCTTAGCCGAATAAGGAGATTTTGTACATGTTTTCTTTAATCTTCCATTTTCCCATCGTTTTAATCTTAATAGAGGCATTTATTGCTATCCAATAAAAGCTTGTTTTACAGATCACAAGATTATGTTCCAGCCTTGTTCCCATAATTCCTTTCCGGATTAAGGGTATTGTTCTTACCGTTTTGTTAATTAGCTATCCTAAAGATAAACAAACGATGTAGAATATGCCCATTTTGTCATTTCGAGAAGCAGTTTTATTAGTAATATTCCCTAAGTTAGTAAAATTCTTTGAAATACGATTTGACTTTCCTTAGTATATAGGTAAGTGTTGAGTTCTATCAATACATAGTCGTGTTATACTGAAAGTTGTCTATTTTGTTCAATATGTTACACATTGTGGAAACCATAGGCGCTTTACTTTATTAAGTGTCCTGGTCCTATTATGTTTATTAACATGAGCTTTATGTATATTCTATCTTAAACCATATTTAAATGGTACATTTACTCGTTCAGACCTGATTATTTCCTGTTTGCCATGAATTGGACATTTATTGAGTTATTACACATCCAGTTTCTGAATAGCTTTCACTAATTTAATTACATCACAAAACATGGAGACCACTAAAAGGCGAGGTTTATAGAGATTTTTTAATGATATTTTGCTGATGCAAATTATAAAGGAATAAAGTGCAGTACTTTTCAGACACTTAGCTAACGTCTAGTGGTATTTTCTTGATTAGAGTATCAGAATTAGATCAATCGACTGCTGTGGGAATTTCCCAGTAGCTGGTGCTCTTTTATTCATTCGAACTATCTTCACTTGGATTGTGAAGCATGTATATGTTTTAAAAGTTTAACAACAATTTAATATTGTTTATAGAAGAATTCGATGTAAGAAACGTTCTTTACCTTAAAGGTGCTCAGTGGGGTTACCATTTGAGAGGCCTTCACAAAGATATATTGACTTCACTGCTGTATATTTTAGTGATTTATAAATTTTGTCGGAACATTGACGTTTGAAGGTGTGTAACTTCGGGGCATACCACTCTTCATTCTTTGCACTTGGAGGTCCTGGTCACGAAAGTTAGATTTCAAAGTAATCTAGTTCAAGGATGGTCTTTGCATTACTCACTAAAATAGAACAAAGATTTCCATGGCAGAACAAATCTTACTCATGCAGTGAAATAATTACTTAATATTCGTAGTGATTTGGTGAGTATGCATATTTATGAGAACTTGACTTATCAGGTGTGTTTACGTTCTAAATTCGTGAATTCTTTTTAGGTGTTTAATTGGAGCTTCTCTTCTAATACGGCGTTGAAACCTGTATTGATGAATAGACCTTGATGCAGTAACTTAAATTTCAGGTTTTTACAGTAATTTCACTGTTGCTTCTGTTTCCGATAAATTAAAACTATGTACATGATTGCATTTTCAGTGAGCATCAACTCCAAGGTACAGGTGCGTTCAGTTGACGAGTCCCGAGTAAAACCAGACGCGCGTTCTGGATTACACTGCTAGCCACTATCGATCTTGCCCCCAAATGCCCTGGTATGGCCGAGAGTGGGGTGGACCCTCCCTCCCTTTCGAAATGATCTCACACAACCATGCGTATGCAACCTCTGCCAGGGAAGTCCTACTCATTGCCTTCTCGTGGCGGGGGTGTTGTTTACGAAAATGAGAGGACGAAAAGCAAATGTCCGGCGCTTTAACCGGATCACAAACCAATAATGCACATGGGCTCCAGTATCCTGCAGGAACAAATGGCGTATGAACCAATCGTTGGTCACCGGCTTCCATGGGACTGCATCTCTTCACGATGCTCCAGTGCCTTGTAGATCAAACCTTTAGGTCAAAGGCTCGGGATGTGGCCTCATTAGAAAACTATCTGCTTCGGTCTGGGCACCCGGGCAGTACCACAGCCCACACACAAAATGAAAATGACAATATTTACTGAAAATTCTATTCACGCTTCGATTAACAGTCAAACAATCCATATTATTATTATTTACTACGTCATTTATTCACTCTTATTCCCACTTTGTGTATCCTTATTTCACGACTTATACAGCAGCTAGCATACAGTGTAAACTCGGTTCTATCTAAACGTTCTCGAGTCACTGCCTGGTTGAAAATTGTATGCTACCACCAAATACGAATATTGAAGCAGTTTTTCAGAAACCACGTGCACCATTCAAACTGGCTGCCTTCAACGTTCTCACACTTATGCAGGTCGGACAACAGATAGGGCTGGCTATGTCTTTGGGAAGTCTTAATATCGACGTTTGCTGTCTATCCGAGACCCGTATTTAAGACTCTGATGAAGTATTACAAATTCGCTCTCCATCTGTCTCTTCGAAAAGCTTGTTTCATGTGTGTTTATCCGGGGACCCTGTGGCATCTTCGTCTGGTCTTGCTGGCGTTGGCGTCGCACTAAGCGCTAGAGCTGAAGCAGCATTAATCGATTGGATCCCCATTAACAGTCGGTTATGTGCTGTTAGATTAGAAAGTTCCATCAAAGTGAGAAGAAATCGGCTTGAGGAACGATGTCTTTTCGTCACCTCCATCTATGCCCCGACAGATTGCAGCCCGGATGCAATCAAGGATGAGTTTTACCACCAGTTATCTGTTCTTCTCCAGAAAGTGCGTTTGACAGATATCGTAGTACTAGCCGGAGACTTGGATGCTTAGGTCGGGCGTCTAGGCACAGAAGAGAGTCGTTTAGGTGGCCGATGGGGACTTGTTGGCCGCAGGACAGCTTACGGGGACCGTCTACTGCAACTGCACAGACCACAACCTGTTTCTGGCTATCACTAACTTTCGGCACAGTCATCGCCGATATGTCACCTGGCGTCCTCCCTATGCATCTGAAGCCTGGAATCATATTGATCACATCGCGATCAGCTACCGATGGCGTGGTTGTGTATAAGGCTGCCGCTCCTTTTGGGGTGCCTATCTGGACTCTGATCATGCCGTGGTCTGCGCCAATCTTTACTTTTCAGTTGCCAACGAAGTGACCACCACCAAAGGATTGATGTCAGCAAGTTGGTTGCAACTTCTGTTGCAAGTAAGTATTGAACTGAGCTAGCTTCTAGGCTAGCTACCATTCCACCGAATAGTATAGATGAGCATTGGTTGCAACTTCACGACTCCATGAAAATGGCGAGTAAAGCCGCTTGCGCCTTCGGGAAACGTCCTGCTTATAAGCACTGGGTTTCTTCAGGCTCCTTAAAACTCATCGAGACCCGTCGTTCTACTCCGGATGACCGTGAGTTTGATCACAAACGAAGAAGGTTATATAATGAAATTGAGAAAAGCTTGTGTAACGACCGAGAAGGTCCTGGGAACTAGAGGTTGTGCCAACGTCATGGAATGAGTCGACAGTTGTCCCTATCTTTAAAAAGGGTTCACGTCGTTCCTGTAACAACTATCGGGGGATAAGTCTACTTTCGATTGCGTCCAAGCTATTGGCTTCCGTCATACTTCGTAGCTTGTTCAAAACCAGAGAAAGATTGACTCGCGACGAGCAGGCTGGGTTTCGTTCTGTCCGTTGATGTATTGATCATATCTTCACCCTATGCCAAATGTCAGAACACCATCATACATATCAAAAGCCAACAATCGTAGTGTTTCTTGACATCAGGGCTGCCTTCGATTCGTTGGACATGACTTCTCTGGGACTCTGTTGAAGAAAGGTGTGTCTGAGAAGTTTATTAACATCCTAAAAGCCCTATATGCACCTCAGGCAGAGTGAGGGCATACGAACACCTCTCTCCATTGTTCCATTCAAGCAGTTCGGTTAGGCAGGGTTGTCCAATCTCACCATTCCTCTTCAACTTTGCCATCGTGTTCGTGTATCTAGGTAGCTGCATAAGTGCTGGTGGTGGCGTGAGTGATGAGATCAATGCACGTATAGTGAAAGCCAGAGCGGCTCATGCCAGTGTGGGCCATCTATGGCGCCTTCGTGATGTCAGTCTGGCTGTAAAAGGTGGGATCTACAACGCGTCGGTGAGAGCAGTTCTGTTCTATGCTTGTGAAACCTGGCCTCTCCGAGTTGAGTATGTTAGACGACTCACTGTGTTTGATCACCGTTGTCTCCGAATGATTGCTGACATCCACTGGCAACACCACGTTAGTAATGCAGAGGTTCGGCATCGTGTGTTCAGGCGCAGAGACGATGTCACCATCTTGAAACATTGACTTCGGTGGCTTGAACATGTTCTACGAATGTCGTCCCAGAGAATTCATCGTTGTGCATTATTTGCCGACTCTGGGACTGGTTAGAAAAAGCGGAGAGGTGGTCGGTATATGACATGGTGTCGTGGTATGAAAGCTGTAAAGGGCTGGCTTGTGTTGGTCCTTCACGACTCCTTGTTTGGTGTCCCAGAGATGGTGCTACACAGTGTCTAGAGACGTTATCAGATATGGCTCAGAATAGAAGCCAGTGGCGATCCTGCTGTAACCTTCTTTTTCTTTTTTCATAAAATGCGGTTGTATCTTCCTTAACTTATAGATTTCTTCTTATTGTACCTTTCCGTTTCCCCCATAATAATAATAATTATTATTATTACACTGCCTTACACTAATCTGTAGTCGCTATTGTTCATCCTCCTTTTTTCTTATACGCTCCTTACCTTTTTTTCTCTCTTCCCATTCTCATTGTTTTTTTGTGGCGCATATATGTTTGGTGCCCCCTTGTAGCAATATTTATATGTTCAAATAAATAAATAAAAGGACATTAAACCACGTCAATTATTTACACAATCCGACACTGCTCTCCGAGATATTTCTCCATTAGTTTCCATACTACTGATAGCTGGCAAGTAGTGCAGTGTAGTTTCATTAGGCTAACCTCAGTAGTCGATATAACATTAATAGAAGTGACGTGTGTGCTAATATATCTACAAATTTTAAGGGGGTATGAATCTGAGAAAAAATGGTGCTGTGTTTATTGGTT